GACTTAATTCTTTTAAATCTCCAAACTCTAGTAATTGAAAATTCCTTTCAATTACCGTTCTACGAACTTCTTATACAATACACTCTAATACATATTTTTCGTAATGCCAATGTAAATAAAAAAATACTTTTTAACTATTACTGAATCCAATTCGACTGTACATTTATTTTAGCAGCAAAAAATCAATACATATAGAAATGATCACCAATATAAGAAACTCACCCAAAATAGCAGCACCATTGTTCTCCTCACTTGATTCTGCTAAATGTTCCACTTGTTGATTCACATTTGAATCTTCTGTACTTGAAATTGTACTAGCTGGTGTACTACCTTCGCGTTGTTGATCTGTCTCGCTATCTGAATGCCGACGTTCTCCATTTTGCACGATCCCATTTACTTTAAGCTCCTGAGACGGTTGTTGTTGCTGTTGTTGAACGAATTTGGATCCTTTATTATTTTGTTGTGGTTGTTGTTGCTGTTGATGCGGTGGCGGTGGTTGCTGCTGTTGCTGCTGTTGTTGCGATTGTTGCTGCTGTTCCAATTTACACTTATTACCCAATTTTTGTAATACATCACTATTTGTTTCGGATGAAAAGGTTCTAATATCTTTTTGTCCATTAATTTGTGGTTGTACATTGTTTTGCACACCAATAGAGCTCGATTCGGATCGGGAAGTTGTCCTTGTACTATGTTTCTCTTTATTTTGACAATTTTTATGTTTATTCCGCGCTGCCTGTGCTTTACTTTCACTATTACTTTTACCTCTCCGTAAATTCATGCTTTCCCCTTTATTATTATTATTTTGTTGATGCGTGGATCCACCAGAAGATACGTGACTCTGCTGATTTGTTGTGCCACTTCCATTTGTCATATTATTTGGTGGCGATGTTACTTGCGATGGCGGTGACAATTCCTTACAATTTGTTTGTGTACCTGTGAATAGATTCGTTGGTTTTACGTAACATTTTTTTTATTTTTTAATTTAGTTTCGCGAACGAGGAACTCACTATTTATTTGTCCAGTCTGTAACGATGGCCAAGCTTCTTTGGCTTGAGAATTTGAAGTTCCATTTTCTCGAACAATATTACCTGTCACGGATGGCGATGGCGCTGGTTTCCTATATGATAGAAATAGAAAATTTCACTTTCAATAATTATATGTTATCTATTAGGTTGATGCAAAAGCTATGACGTTTTTTTTATAAGAAATAAAAAGAGGAATTTTTCAAATATTTTTATTGACTTAATCTATTATATAATTTCCATTAGTTGCTATCATCATCTCCCATCTTTCTATAAGTTTATTTATTTCATTACTGTAAAAATTTTGTGATTTCGAAGAGAAAAATGAACATAATATTTTTTCTTGCTCCGGAAAACGTCAAAATGTTTACATTAACCCAATATTATATTGTATTTAACTGACTAGCTTTAAATAGAAACAGTCTTACCGTTGAGCAGACGCATGTGAAGCATTTAATGATTGCACAAGCTTCCGCTCATACTCCTGATGTTTGCCTTGATGCATCTCTTCTTTTGTGAATGATGCTTCCTGGTCCCCAAGATCATGTAAATACATACAATCCGGTTTCGGACAAGGCTGATTACGCATAAAATGTGAACAATACTTTGTTGTCCCTAGTGACGTTTTTATTGTTCGTCCGTCCATAATAACATTATTCACAGCCTCTATAGCACGTAGTGCATCCTCTTGACGCTAATAATGTAATAATTTTTAAATGTAAATATGTGTAACAACCACAAGGAATACAGATATCATTAGTAGAATACAACTATCAACATACTTGATAAGTAACGTAAGCTGAAGCACTAGGGCCTTGAGACCCTACATAGGAAGTGCTTTGATTTATTACAACTTTATGAATTTTGCCAAATTTTCCAAAATATTCATGTCGTTTTAATACCTAAAAGAAGTAGTTAATAAGATAAATATAAAATCTTCTAAATATATATTTCACTTACAACATTATAGTAATAAAACCACTATGATTCATTTTTAGTTTGTACTTACATCAGCATCAGCAAGTCGCAATGGTAATCCTACTACAAACACTAGATTTTTTTGTACTACTCTCACATTGGCTAGATGTTTACGGTTTTCTGTTACTCTTTGCTTACGCTGCTGATCTTTCAATCTCTTTTCCGCTTTTAATCTGGCAATAAAATAAAAAATTATTCCAGCATTTGCTTTTCAATCAGTATATAAGTTAATAATAACAATAATATTGAAGCAAACATTAACCTTGCAATTTCTTCCATACTGAGAGGTTTAAAATCGGCAGGATTCTCAGAATAGGCCTTCCGACAGGCAGGACATAAGCCATTTTCATCAGTTCGAATTCTGTGCCAGCAAAATCGACATATTTGATACCCACAGGTGCACGGAAAAAAATTCAAATCATCCACTTCTAGTGGCTCCATACACAATGGACATTCCACAGCATCTTCTCCGCTTTGATTCAATACTGACATTTTCCTTTCTATTGTTTGTATCACACAATATGGTAAGTGTCCTATTCGTAATTCCTACGCATAAATGAAACAACTCACATGTAACGTCAAAGGAATTCTGAATCAACACATAAAAACATAAAAATATATACAACAATGCATAGCTGAAGCATTGAAACATGATAATTCTGTCACTGAATGAAATAAGCACACACCTAGGATGGAAGTAACGCGAAACATATGTTTTAAAACGTAAATAACATTTTCCAAGTACATTGCTGACGCGAACATTTAATGAATCCAATATACTTACGTGCAGTTCGCTCGATACTTTGATACTATGTAATTGACTGTACTTGTAACTTCTTACACGCTAGTATCCTTGCACAATCTAAAACAAATTACAAGACGTTAATGTGTTATTAATGGGGAATGTTATGAGTCAGACGTATTAAACGAGTGCTAACGGTCGTATTCGACTCAAATTCCACGTAAGTCCGTGAAGGATTTTGCGATCTGCCCGTAGAAACTTGTTAAGCGTTTTCACCGTTCGGCCACGAAGCGGATTCGTGTTATTTGTAACCGTGAGTATTGTCAAAGTTATTTTTGAATTAGCGCGTACCAGGAAAAAAGGAAAAAGGCGAGATCGTGGCAGAACCTTTCTCGCGGAAAACAGAGGGTAACGAAACCGTGAACTGTTTGGCTGACAGATTTGACGAACAGTTGGAGAGGAAGGTCCGTTTGACAGGAGCTGTCAAACGGGACAGCGAACGAACAAAGGACGCTCCAGATTTCAACCGATTAGAATGATAGCGTACGCCCTACGATGGACGTACAAATGACAAGTTTATACGCTCGAGCTTGGGATTCGACGACGAAAAACTTGCGGTAGGGCCACCGTCTGTACTCTCCCACTCACTTTCTCGCTCTCTCTCTCTCTCTCTCTCTTTTTCTCTCTCACCCTCTCTCTCTCCCTCTTTCTCTCGCTCGCTCCTGCGACGAGACACGAACTATACGAGAGGGCGACGATCGGACGAAACAGCTGTTGGTGGCGTTGAGAGAAGCGAAGAAACGTCAGGGAGCAAGTGAGATGGTACTATATGCCATATCACAAACCTACGTGAAAATCCGTGAAAAGTCGGCGTGGTGGGGCATGACACGTAAATTCCCCGGAGCTTCGAATGCAACTATCCGCATACGCAAGGACGGTGGTCTCGACGTTTCGCGATACGATTTTGAAGGGGGGAAAAGGCTAGTAGCGAGCGAGAGAATGAGAAATGGAAGTAATGAAAGGAGTGGCGGAGTGCAAGGGGGGGAAGGAAAGAGGGAAGGAGAAAGAGCAAGATGGTGGGAGGCGAGATGAGGGGAGTGTAGAGATGAGGTGTACGAGCGAGAACGAGAGACGGAGGGGTGACGGAGAGAGATAGAGAGAGAAAAAGGAAAACAGAACAACGATGCCATCATTAGTTTTGTCCCTTTTTAGTCAATGGTCGTTGTCTTGATCTTGCGCGTGAAGCGTAAGAGAAAAGAGGCTCTCACCGATCTCGCATCTACGTACTTGGTTTCGAATGAACTGATAATGCTGGTTCAAGCGCAAACAACTCAGACCCCCAACAAATGCACAGGTCCCCCTAAGTATGCAGTTTATGTAAAAGGAAACTACAGTAGTCCAAGTAACATAGTATAGTTCGCCACGAACGTCACAAAGGATTGAATGATTTGTCGCCAGAGGGGTTGCTAAATACCCTGGACTGGTTACAGGGTATACCTGGCTGAATTTAACCTTAACTTGTTCAATGGGATAAACTTCTTCGACAACTGGCGTGTCTCGTCAACCGCGTGCCACCATTCTCAACGATTCTAACGAGAAATACACGTATCCGACGTTTCGAATTCCTCGATCCTTGTTTACTTACGTTACAACTTTTCCACTAACAAATCTCTTTTCTGTACTGGGAAATTTTTGTAGTCTTCGAGATCTGGTCGCATGCGCACCACGACTGCGCAGAAGCGGACATTACATACACTGGTATTTAAAGAGAGGCGCATAGACGAAGAATTCTGAAAGCGCATGTCGAGCGGAGCTTCGATTCTGTTACTGCACACGTTAGAATGTCGGCGTGCAACGTTTTTCCGCTCGTGTTTCATTAATTCGTACTTACACATCGCGTTTTATGGATACCAGAACTTTTTGCAGTGAAGGGAACGGTTAAACGAGGAATTTCTTAGACCACGGTTTCTCCTACTTTATATTTGCCGCGTATCTGGAAATAATTGGTAACCGATCTGGCACGACTGCCAATTGCTGAGAGTAAATATTCCGAACGTCGATTAAAATAGGGTACAATGCGATTGAACTGAATTTATGGCTTCAAAATTGTTTAAATGAATGTAAAATTAAATGTACGGGATTTTTGTAGTTTTTCGAAAATCCCTTTTTTTAGGCCAGAATATAAAATTTTGTTGAAAAGATGGCCTATCATGGAAAAAATTATTTTATGTTTTATTTCGTACATATTTGTTAAATTATAGTAAAATAATATTTTATTTGTGGTCAGTGTAATTTTTCTTATAAAAAACTTGAGCATGTAGACTTTTATGGGTAATACAGTATATAATGACTAATAGTATAATTTGTTAACAATATATAAGATACAGCATTTGTTTTTCACAATTATAGTCCCCTATATCTAACAAGTTACTTTAGTGTACCCTTATCGACTTTACCTTCATAACTTACACCAAATAAAGGATGACGGACTTTCAGATTTTCAGGAAATGGTACGCTAGAATTTTCTATTTGCATGGGTTTTGTTTTCGAAATACCTGAAAGTTTCCGCCTAACGCTGATCGCGCCCATTGGCTTCACATGAACTGCAGAAGAGAATTCTGTTACTAACAGGAATCATTAATTTTATTTTCAGTTAAATAAAAAAGAAAGGATACCTGGTTTATATCTTGATTTCACTTTTCCAGTATTAAATACCCAAGTCATATTGCACTTAACATCATGATTCACTGCGTAATATTTCTCTTCTTTAATTTTAAATTTTGACTTTTCTCCAAACACTAATGTCTGTCCCTTAAGATCTCTTGGATCTATCTATAAGCATAAGATTATTTATATTATAACTTTATTTGCATTTCAAGTAGTTGAATGCATTTGACTTACTGTTGTAGGAATATCCATTACCCACATGTCTTCACTGTCAGAAAGATTATCTAAATTAAATGTAGAATTTTTAGATTCTACAATTAAATTTTCTTCTCTGACCAAATCATCGATCTGAAGTAAAATTAAAACATTGAATACACAAAAATTAATGATAAAAATTTACAAAGCAAATTGTATTTACATTTCGAGGTCTAGAAGTAATTGGCATACTCATTGATACTCTATCATTATTAGTATTATTTAATATTTCTCTATTATTTTCTACGTCTTCTGCTTCTTGTATTTCATCTCCTCTTTCATCATTTCTTATGTCACTTTTCTTCAGAATACTTTTCCTTTGCCCCGGAGAACCATTAGAAAGTCTACTCGGTTGAACTTTTGTATTAATTTTTATGGTTTTACTACTTTTTGGTGAACGTATTTCATTGTCTGTTGTAGTATCCATTAAAACCATAGATCTGTTCAGCTGTGTATTCAACTTTGTCAAAGAATCACTATCCAACTCATTCATGCTGTTTGGCAAAACTATAAATTATGTTGCAAATTGTTCGTTAATCTTTAAACCGAATAATATTTTAAATTTTATCGAACAAAGTTTGTTAATAATCACGTTTAACGCCGGATTTTTTAATTATTTGTACAGTTCACAATATTTAAAAAACTGATACCGAATATACTACTTATATAAACAAAATAATTAAAAAAAATTAAATAGCTATATAAATTGTGTTTATGTAATAATTAAAACTTTGTTATGTGCTATTATTCCATATACTTTCTCCTGATGTATACAAAACACATGAATAACAAACAACACGTTGCACGGTAAATGGAAACTACTACTACTACATTGATCAAAATAAGTTACATCACGTATTTTTGACTGTTCTACTTATACCTACTTACGCATATTAGAATTCCACAATAGGTAATGCTTACAAGGAATTTTAATATAAAAGCAGATATCTTTAATAAACTAAAGAATGGTGTGCAACTACGTATTCTATCGTAAAAGTTTGTTATTTTATTAGTTTTTAAGTTATTGAAATATTTAAAAATGTATAGACTACAGAACTCATTTTTGCATACTAATAATTTTGTATTGCGATCAAAGATATGATTGGTAGTTAAAATAATTGTCCTACTTACATTAATTATTTAAAAATCATATAAGAACTCTTTCTTATATCACAATAGTCTATGGCCGATTTAATATTTCCTTTTTATCAATGAAAACGACATATTTTAGACAATGTAGAAATTATTTATAACTTTTACCGGTATATTTCTATACAAGCGCCCCCAAGAGAAACATTTTGTTTATAATTCAAATCAACTTAAGTACAATAATAATACCTGGTTTAAGAATACTAATTTGATGTAACCTTTTATATAATTTTATGTAAATTATATTTACCGTTACAATAAATATAGTATTTCTATTCTAATCTTTGTTTTTCTTATTAAACTAAACTAATATATTATCAGATGTTGCAAGCACGTTGCTTATTTAATATTTTATCACTACGTCTTATCTCTTACGAATATATTCTCTGTATGGAATCATGCGGTAATTACACATACACGATACTTTATCTATATATTAAATTTATTTTTCTGTAAAATTTCTTAGTGCATTTAACATTTTTAGGGATATACATTAATTTTAAAAATTCAAAATGTTTAAAACTTGTAATATTAACAATATAGGCAGTTCTATTAGACACTTAAGAAAATTTAGTGATTTTGTAAAAGTAGTTGAAGTTGGAGCCAGGGACGGACTGCAGAATGAGAAAAATATTGTGCCAACTGAGATTAAAGTTGATTTCATTAATAAATTATCAGAAACTGGATTAAAGAGTATAGAAGTAACCAGTTTTGTGTCTCCAAAATGGATTCCACAAATGGCAGACAATGTTCATGTTTTTCAAATGATTAACAAGGTGCCTAATATTTCATATCCTGTATTGGTGCCTAACATAAAAGGCCTAGAAAGTGCTTTAAAAGCTGGTGTAAAAGAGATAGCTGTTTTTAGTGCAGCATCTGAAAGTTTTTCCAAAAAGAATACTAATTGTTCTATCAATGATAGCATAAAGAATATTGAAGGAGTTATTGAAAAAGCTAAGATACATGATATTAAAGTTAGAGGCTACGTATCTTGCATTGCTGGCTGCCCCTACGAGGGTGAAACCAAAGCATCAATGGTAGCTAATATATCCGAATTGATGTTACAACTTGGATGCTATGAAATTTCTTTAGGGGATACAATTGGCGTAGGAACTCCTGTGAAAATAAAGGAAGTTCTGCACGAATTAAAACACATATCAGATAGCATGAATAAATTTGCTCTTCACTGCCATGATACTTATGGCCAGGCTCTGGTAAATATTTATACTGGCCTTGAATATGGTATAAGGATATTTGATTCATCGGTTGCTGGATTGGGAGGGTGTCCATATGCAGCTGGTGCTTCTGGAAATATTGCTACTGAAGACTTGCTTTATCTTCTCCATGGGCAAGGGATGGAAACGGGAGTAAACCTCGATAAAATAGTAAAAATCGGGAATTTTATTAGTAATCACCTCGAAAGGAAAAATCAATCAAAGGCAGGTGTTGCGATTCTTGCGAAAGAACAAGCGAAAACACGTGTATAATTGTATATTTGAAAAAGATATTAGTTTAATGTTTTAATAAAATTTTATTTTTTTATATCTCGTAATTACCAGATGAAAAGCGTGAAATTTTATTACATGTTTGCAATAAATAGTTTCCAATTTTATAATTATTAAATTATAATGACTCGTTGTATCTTGTGTACACGAATTCATAGAAATGTAGCGTAATGACAAAACATATTACGTCGTGACATTTCGCAATTCGATAAACTACATTCCTTGAAATATTAAGGAATACATGTAAAGCCGACTGTATTAGAAAAGAAAGTACATTATGATACATCATGACAACAAACTGATGCACAGGCCCCAGTTCATTTTTTCTGCATAACCTGTGTTACGAAATATTCGATAATTCCTGTAATATTGCCTGTGTATCTAAGGTACTCAAATCTATTGATCCTCTTGTGTCAATTACGACTCCGGTTACCTATACAAAATACAAAATACCATACAACTATAATACCACATTTTCCGTTTGTATATTTAATAAAATATTACCATTTCTTCGAAGAATGCAACGTGATCTGGCTTCTCGGAATATCTTTCGTACTGATCTAAATTATCTTGCAACTTTAACGTAAGGCTGTCATAATTCTGTATTATGATTGCTAGAATCTGTTGTTCCGTGGGAGTAGATAAACTTTCACTGGCTAACCATGCTGCTATTTTTGGTGGGAAATGATTCACTATATCTCTCATGTTTACCAAACAGTTTGTTAATTTTAGTGCATGTTCCTTGTACTCATAAGATTCGCTTGTCGAATATCGGAGTGCTTTACATGTAAATTGTATCACTATCACTTATCATCATTACATGAATATTAAATATATCAACCTACTTGCATTCTACCTACCCATTGCATTTAAATTCGTAAAAATAAGCCTCATTCGTATTATCTCGTAAAACAATTCATCGTAGCTACTCGGTGAAGATAGAAACGTGTCTCCATAAGTGATAAACAAATTTAAAATATTCACAACCTACAAGATTAGTTTGATTTATAAATAAATTTATTTGAAGCTGCGGTATGTTAATTTACCTGAATGGCTAACGGGAAAATATTCATTTTCTTAATAAGGTGACTTTCATGAGTGGTTAAAAATTTGAGTAAATTGATCAATGCTGTCCAAAGATCCCTCCATTGATAACCAAGTCTAACTCTGCATCTTTTTTGATAACAGAGCAACCTTTGTAAAACCCCGATGCAGTGATGATAAAGTTCAAGCGGGAATTTTTTCATCATGTGCGATGTAACAAATTCGACCAGCAAATCTACAATTTGATAATAATTATTACGACGTGGCAAAAACATGTATAACATTTAATATACCACTTGCTCTACGTTCAGTCTAAAGAAAGAAGAGACTAATAAAAATGGAGAAAGTTCCATACAGATATCTGTACGCTAATCATATTTGTACCAAGTAATGTAGCAGCCAATGGTTGCACGGGTGCCGCTTTGTCTTGAATCTTCCTATGATGCATTGGTACTCTATGTAGTTGTACTCTGAAAGCCAAGTTTGCATCATGCATCAGACTGTTTGCATATTGATCTTCAGCAATGCAGCTTAATATAAGGAAGCACAATTTGACATTACTCATTATTGCCTCTGTTCTAATCACTTGCATAACTATTGAACTGCAAGAATGAGAATATTTTAGAATAAAAAGTATCGTATAATTATGAATTGTAATATTTCAATAATGTAACTTGTTACCAATACTGTAAGAACGTCGCCAACAAATTAAATGGTTGAGCCATTACGTCGGGTAATTGTGCTCCAGGTGCTACGGCGTTTGGCCCTAACGTATTATTCGGAGAAGGCGGAGCACTCGTATCGCTTTGAGTGTAAGCCAAGGTAGTCACAAAATTACGATTCAAGTGTGTAGATTCATAGAGTGCTAATAACAATGCATTATTTGCGCGGACTTGTTGCGTTTTTGCTTCCTCCTCTCCAACAAATATACTTCCAACTATACTAGTCAAGGAAGACAGCCAAGATGCTTGTATTTCTATGTACACACGTGTTTTATTATCGTACATGTTAGACGCAGTTTAACAAGCTAATTGGAAATATTTTGTACCTGCTCTTTGCTGAGCAAATTGTCTACAAAAGTCCATCAATGAACTCGATATTACTTGGCCATATCCGTTCAGAGCTAGTTCATCATCTAGAATTGACAATTTAACAATGTAAGGATTCGCTCTTTCATGCTTTCTATAATTGACTAGAAGTGTTAAGAGCAATACTGCGTCATGGCCATGGCGATTTCTAGCTGTTGTGTCTCTCAGCAACTATATAAAAATTTGAGAAATGTTAATGCTTAAAGTAATTGATAGTTTTGAATGATTTTCTTTTTAAAAAATACATATACCAATTTAACACCTACTTGAACCAGAGATTCAAAAACACTATTAAGCATAACGTACTCCAACAAAGTGTTCTGACTAACGTTGTCCATGCCGGTTACAATAATTAACAATAACTTTAAGCATAAAGCTTTTAAGCTATCAGGGTATTCACCTGGAATTATGTAAAATTTTAGTGAGTAGCTTGTTTTTGAAAGACAGTACAAGATGCATATTTGAATCTTTGATTTCTTAATGAATATAAAATGAATGATAAGGTAATTCAAAAGGTATTTTAATATGTACCTGTTAAAAAATTATTGCAATGTTGCATTAAAGTTGTCATCCTTTGTTCAGCAGAATCAAATCCTACTAGGATATCGATTAAGTTAAATCCACAGTCCCCTTGACTAGCTTTCTTATACATGGATTGTATAACAGCTGCTAATGTTTGTAGAGCATACACAACTCTGAAAGGATGTTCATCAACTAATGTATCCACGCAATGGCAGACCAAGGCATTTAAATTTTCTTTGCTTGCGTTTAATTGTTCTGCAGTCATGTGTAAAATTTCACTTTCTATATGTGGAACCTAAACATATTAAAGTAAAAATACAAATAATACACAATACAAATAGATAATTGATGTTTAAAAATCACTAAGTACATGATAGTGATTCATCTGTTTTTCCTTTGACAGTTTTTTCTTTTCTTGTCAACAAGAAAATTTCATATACTAAGATTTTTCATTTTATTTGGTTATCTAAACAATTTCTTCATATTTCAAAATGCTACTGTTGACTCATAATTTTGAGTACTAAAAATCTGTGTATTAATAGGATATAAACCATTTGCCACCATGATTGGTAAATTTGTTACCAAAATAATACAGGTAAGACTAATATTTTACAAAAAGTATTTTCATCCTGTGTTATGCGTATGTAATTTTATAGTCATTGCCTACATGGGAAGTGACAAAATATTATGGAAGAGTATGTATATATCAATTTAAATGTTTGAAATACAAAGTACAGACAAGTGAAGCATGGTTTAATTTTAAGTGCAAATTTATGCCAGGCAGTTTTCGGAATGAACTCGAATGTGAAGAAATTATTGAGCCAAAGAGTATGTAAATTCTATAATATTCTGGAATATTTTTAATTGGCAGGTCATTATACTATTTTATTTACATATTTCATATAGATAAAAATAATAGACTTAAACAAAAAGCAAAACGCATGAATTTAGAAACAGAGACTTCCAAAAAAAAGGAATTTAATATAAAGAAGAATGATGATCAATGTTTAAATTCTTATACAACTGAACAAAAGTATCAAGAAGAATGTACAAAGAAGAAACAGGAAAAGGTACATTAAGTACAATGTTTAATACATTGAAGAATAAAGATTTCATTTCATCATTGTTTGATTATTTAAGAATTTCTTCTCTGACAGATGAAACATGCTCGGTAATGAATGGCATTGGTGGAAAACCTAACAAATTTCTATATTTACTTTATACTATATTAATTTTCTATCAGAAATCTGTAAAAGTTTTAATAAATTTTGTTCTTTATTATTAAGCTTTATACAATGCTGAATAAAGTTTTCATGTAGTATTGAAACGAATTGAAAAATACTAACCATGGGTTTTATAAGGAACAATTCATTCCAAAAATTTGGATGAGCTAATGTCAGATCTTCTCCTTTAAAAAAGCTCTCATAGATTGGTACTAGCTTTCCCTTGTGTTGGCGTTTAGAGCCTGAACCACTCCGTTTTCTCATAGCCATTGCTATTATAGTTTAATCACTTTATTTCATTTCACCTGTAAACATATAATTTTATATAATAAAAATTTAAAGCAACTATCGTTATTCAAATTTCTATAGATGCAATTTTAAAATATCAAATTTCTATTGTAATAAATTGCATGATAATAAAATAATGTTCTTAAGATATTTTTATAATTTTCATTCTAAAATTCGAATTTAATTAGTAATATAACCTCTAATATAAAAATTGAAATTACTTTTAGAAAATAGTAATTATTTATATAAAATGATTACATGCAAATAATTTACAATATTGTTGAATATCAAAAGTAGAATTAATATGATATGAAAATCCTTATTAAAAACTATTAAGTACTTACTGAAAAAATAAATTATTTCTTGATAACACATGAGGAATGTCCAAATTTATTTGGACGGTCCCTAGTATACTTTAAAGTATTTTTATTCGTTATGATTAATTTATGAAATGTAATTTGTTAATATTAAAGAGTTTCTGGGTACTAAAGTAAGAAAAAACAATAACACAAGAAATTACGAAAATACCGTTGCACGAGAATGACAGGGAGCCATCATCAATGAAATAACCGATAAGAATCACTTATCAACACATGCGACTTTTGAAACGAATCTGTAATAATAAAGTTGAAAAAAAGATTAAAATATTTACTTACACAGATTATCACATACAGATTTTGTACTAAAGTTAATGGTAGCACATCACACGAACGAAAAGCGAGTGCTTTGCCTAAATCTTATACATATGTGTTTTTATTATCGGCTTTACATTGTTTTCATTCTTATATAAAATTCGAGAACTTGGCGATAACAATTGAAATAACATAAGCACTATGATTTTAAGTTCGAGACTTTTATATCAATTAAGGAACAAGTATATATACTCTTTATAATTAATACACTTTTATAACATTCGTACAATAAAATTTAATTTCAGAATTTCAACGCGGACGTCGAGAACTTATATCCAATATTATATTGAACCACGTAGATTTAAAAGCAATGAAACAAATAGAGAAACGAATGCACCTAAAGACAATCCTAATTATTTATATACTACATATATTACACTTGGTACTTCTATATTAGCTGTATGTTGTTATTATATATTCCGTAAAGAAACACATGCATTAATTAAACATAATGCACAATGTGGCGAATTTAACCCAAATTTGAAAACATATACTTTAGAAGAAGTTGGAAAACATGATAATAAGAAGAATCGTGTATGGGTAACATTTAAACAAGGAGTGTATGATATAACAGATTTTATAGACAAACATCCCGGTGGTCCATCTAAAATAATAATGGCAGCTGGCAGTTCTATTGAACCTTTCTGGGCAATTTTTTCTAATCACAATACTTCAGAAATATATGAACTGCTTGAATCAATGAGAATTGGAAACATTTCTAAAGTAGATGCGCTTGCTAATAAAACTGATGAAAATGATCCATATTCAAAAGAACCGCAAAGGCATAAAGCTTTAAAAGTTAATGGAAGTAAACCCTTTTGCGCTGAACCACCTTCTTCTTTATTAGTTGAAAGTTTCATTACACCAATGTTAATATATATTTAATTAAAACATATCTTTCAATGACTTTATCTATCGAATCGTTTTCAAATTAGTACTTTCTTTTAGAGATTTATTCTATGTAAGGAATCATCTTCCTGTCCCTGAAATAGATCTAAAAACATACAGTATAGAATTAGCTGTAGAGGAAACTACACAAAGATGTCTCAGCTTTGAAGATATAAAAAAGTATCCAAAATATACAATAACTACTGCTATAATGTGTGGTGGTAATAGACGATCTGAAATGGCACAGGTAATTATTTTCATGTGCACCAATGAAGTTATATTTTTATTAATAGTAAATTATCATGATATATTGCATTAAAACTTACTTTCATTATGATAATAGTATAAATATGTTTATATTGCCACTAACATTTTATAGGAAAAGCCATTAAAAGGTCTCAGTTGGGGTATAGGAGCAGTTGGTAATGCTACGTGGACTGGTGTAAGACTATGTGACATCCTAAAAGATTTAAAAATTAATGAAGATGACTACAACCATGTTCAGGTACTATTATATAAATCATTATTACTATATAATACATCAAAACTATTTTAATTAAAAATATTTTATAAATAATTTATACTAGTTTGAGGGATATGATCTAGATCCTTCTGGTACACCATATGGTGCAAGTATACCCATCAGTAAAGCTATGGATCCCAGAGCAGACGTAATTTTAGCTTATGAAATGAATGGACAATCAATACCAAGAGATCATGGTTTTCCTATACGGGTTATTGTTCCTGGTGTTGTAGGTGCTAGAAATGTAAAATGGCTAGGTAATAAAAGAATAAGCACTATATTTCTAATAATGACTGTACACAATTTAATTTTCTGAATTGTAAATTTACAGGAAAAATAATTGTCTCTAAAGAAGAGAGCCATTCGCAATGGCAACAAGGTGACTATAAAGGTTTTTCCCCTAGCACTAATTGGGATAATGTAGATTTTTCTAAAGCGCCTGCTATTCAAGAGATGCCTGTGATTTCTGCGATATGTACACCAGAACCATTAGAAAGAATTAAAGTAAAGAATGGAAAGATAAATGTTAAAGGTATTGTGTCTCTTGAAAGTTATATACATAGCATTAATTGTTGTTCACTATTATAATTGAATAAAATTAATAGGATACGCATGGTCAGGAGGTGGTAAAAGAATTATTAGAGTTGATGTTACGAATGATCAAGGTCTAACTTGGCATACAGCCAATTTAGATGCAGAAGATAAGAATGCCAAGGAGGGTCGATATTGGAGTTGGACACTATGGAGTGTAGATCTTCCTGTTAATAAAGATTGGCAAGAGTCAGAAATATGGGCAAAGGCTGTGGATGCATCCTATAATGTACAACCAGAAAGTTTCAAACATATTTGGAACTTACGAGGTTTTCTTTGTAATGCATATCACAAAGTTAAAGTTATATTAGAACATTGAATTGCAATAACAAATTTCTTTTTTTGTATCTTAAATAATATTTAATCCTTGTGCTTTTTTATTACAATACATATTACAAATTTTATATATACTCACATAAGGAATTTAAAATATATTAAGTTTTCATATTTTCTGCTTCAAAGTAACTAGCTATACTTTCCAAACTTAACTCCGTAGATGACGAATCATTTATGTTATGAACTTCAAATGTTGGTGGTGACATCATAGCTGTTTTACCAAGAACTATAACATATGGATATCCAACAAGACGTGCCAGTTTCATACGTTTTCCAATAGTCAACTTTGTTCTATCGTCAAGTATAGTTTCAATATTTAATTGATTTACAATCTCTAATATTTGGTTCAGATATTGATTTGCCCCCTCTTCGTTGCTGCCAGACTGAAAGATTGTAATAAAAATACATTAAAAAATGAAATTTGACGAATGAATACAATATTAACTTAAATTTTCTGCAATCTTTATATAATAAAATTTTGAACTTAGTACCTTTGGTGTTATAATGCACAAAGTATAAGGTGCCAAACTCTTTGGCCATCTAAGTTCACCTTCTTCTGTACGCAATTTCTCAGCCACAACTGTCAATATCCGACTTAAGCCAAGTCCATAACATCCCATTACTAAAGGTTTCAATTTCTGTTGCATGTATACAGCTCCCAAAGGTTCAGTGTATTTTGTGTCTAATAAAAACGTATGTCCTACCTTAAATAAAAGATTTTATGATTTTATTTTCTTGAAACAAAAATTTTCACTGGGAAAATTACTAGTAACATATAAATATCTATATATATTTTATTACTTCAGCAGTAGATTGTTCCAACAATGTATTACTGCATTGAGGACACTTGGATTCTTTACACATAACTTTGTTAATAGCGTATTGACATGCTGAACATGTACAAATAATATCATCGGTATTATCACATGTATAATGATACTCATGGGACTTTAAACCTCCAATAATTCCTGTGTCACCAATAGCTGTAAATATTCATGATATAAATAAATTATAAGATACTACATTAATTATATTGAAGAAATACTAATCATAATTGCATATAATGCTACCTTTAGTAAATTTTATCCCTAACGTTTTGAATATATTACTATATGCTTCACATACTGTTTCATATGATTGATTTGCATCATCTAAAGTTGCATCAAACGTATATAGATCTTTCATAATAAACTCTCTACTTCTAAGGAACCCAAATCTTGGTTTAATTTCATCTCGCCATTTGTTAGAAATTTGATATAATTTCAAAGGTAACTTCAAAGACATATATCCTGAGGACTTAATTAAGTCACAAATTGTTTCTTCATATGTCTATGATAAAATACATTGATAATTTACTTTTGTAGCTAACATTAGGAAATATAAATAATAAGAATATCTACAATCTATAAAATATATAAGTGAAATTAAATGTACAAATTATTATTTGTTACTTACTGGACTAAGTATATACTGCCTATTGTGTCTATCAAGAACAGTAAATAATTCTGTTTTATTAGTGTCAAATCTTTCAGTCTTCTGCCATAAATTTGTAGGTGTTAAAGCTGGAAGTAATACCCTTTGAGCTCCTATGTTTTCCATTTCATTTTCAACAATATTTGTTAATTTATTTAAAACACGTAATCCTATGGGTAAATATGCATACAGGCCATTGCTCACAGGTGTCATAAATCCATATTTAATTAAATACTATACGAAAAAATTGAAAACATAATATATTATTAAAAAATAACAATACAATATAGTATAGTTTAATATATTATAAACAACTATCAACATACTTCAGAACTGTTTGAAACATTTCCCGATTTTAACGGAATGCTGAATTGTGGAAATAATTTTGATGCTCTCTTTACTTTATGAATCGCTGTGCAAGACATTTTTCAGCAATTAAGTATTTTACTTATATGTTTACTATTATAAGTTTGTTTATTACATACACGTGATATAAAATCTTCTCATTATAAACTACACCTATACACGTTAAGCATTGGTCGCCATGTTGTATACATGGGGTTAATATGTTGAGTCATAAGTAATGTCCAATGTCGATAGCATGTAAATAATTTCTATTTTTTTCAGATTCAGTCGTTCAGTTAAGTAGCTTCATTTACATTATAATATGAAAATCATATTTAATGAGTGATTTATTAAAAGTATAAAAAATGGAAAACCTAAAAGAACATATTCGACATATTATGTTGTGGGAATTTCAATTAGGTAATAGTTCTGTACAGACAGCAATTAAAATTTGCAATGTATACGGCATTAACACGGTAACAGATCGAACAGTGCGAAGGTGGTTTAAAAAATTTCGTTCTGGAAATATGTCGTTGAAAGAGGAACCTCGATTGGGCCGGCCATCTGATTTTGATAAAGATGGTTTAAATGAATTACTGGAACAAAATCCACATCAAACTGCAAAAGAGTTAGCACGAAAATTGAAAGTATCACAATCTACTATTATGCGTAAACTTCATGCATTAGGGAAAGTAAGCAAAGTAGATGTAGGGGTTCACCGTCAACTAAGTGAAAAGAATAAAGCAGAAAGAATGTCTATTGCAGCCAGCCTGATTTCTCGCCACAGAATTGAGCCTTTTTTAGATAAAATTATAATTGGTGCTGAGAAATGGATTAGATATGAAACCATCGTTCGCAAAAGACAATTATGCGATGGAAATGAAAATCCTGAAATGAAATCAAAAGTTAGATTTCATGGAAGAAAAATTCTATTGTGTGTATGGTGGGATTGCTTGGGAATTATTTATTTTGAACTTCTAAACAGAAATGAAACAGTTACATCTGAAATTTATGTTAATCAACTTGAACGTGTACGAGAAAAACTTCAAGAGAACCGATCTCTAATCACTCAGAAGGATGTCATTCTGTTACATGATAATGACAGATTACATACAGAAAAGATGATACAACAAAAAATTTTAGAGCTAGGCTGGTCAGTTTTACCACAACCACCATGCTCATTAGACTTATCACCAACAGATTATCATCTTTTAGATTCATTACAAAAGATGCTAAATGAAGAACGTTTTGAAAATATTAACGATACACATGAATTTGTTTCTAATTTCTTCAATTCAAAATTTCCTGACTTTTATGCTAATAGCATTAAGAAATTGCCAGACAGATGGCAACAAGTCATTGATAGCAATGGTGAATACATTGTGGATTAAAATATGTTATAACAATTTCATAGATGTTTGGGAAATGGACCTTACTTATGACTCAATATATGCGTGTTTGTGATACTAGAATATTATTAACTTATGAAAATTGTTGAAGATTGTGGAACATATAATATTATGTTCAAAAATTAATTTTAACAATTTCAAATAATTTATTATAATCTTCTGAGAAAACAATCATTAATTGTGATATTGTTGAGTAATAATTACTCGAATAATTGTGATAACTGTTAATTCAATATATATGAAAGTAAATATATAATTTTAGATTATTTATTGTAGTTTTTCAAATGTATACTATGTGTTGCAACAGACGCGACATCACAGAAATAAAATGAGTACCTTGAATTGACTTAATTATCAATAAAGCTCAATTTTGTAATAGCAATTTGTTAATAAACGTATTCTTTATAAATATTTAATTATTAATTAGTGAACAAAGATTGTTAACATATAAAAATAACAAAATATGATACAAACATGAAAATGTATGTAATTTTTAATAAAATATACATTCCACGGATGGCAAATTGTTTATTATATTCCCTTGCAACAATTAAATGTTACTGAAATAATGAGTTAAGTTCAAGATATTATTTCGATAACTTCGAATCATATTTAGATGGCGCTGCAGTTCTATCAGCTGGTTCCTTTCGTGCAGTGTACTCGTGTAAATAAATAATTTCAAATAAAATTGTCAAATAAAAAGAAACCTTGCAAACAGTTGTTATCGTTCGTTCTTATTTTTTATTATAACACTGTAAAAAAATCATAAAGAATGATTATACAATCATTTTTGAATAATCTACCTTATTTGGAATAAAGTAAAACATTAAACAGTTGCACAAAAACAGTACAATTTTTTTAACAATGTTTACTGATCGGTCACTTGATGCTGTAAGCTTTGATTCACAAGTATCATCTACAAAGTACGTTTTACACTTCTTTCATTAAAATCGTCCTTTTCTTTTTATTTTAATTACAAACATTTTTCAGATCGGAATTGTCGACAAATGTACAAACAACGGAGATTAGTTATAATGAGAATCTGGTACAAACAGTTGAAACAAGGAGCATCGAGGTATTTATAATTGCATGACTTTTCAGTAATTTCTATTGTTCATAAAAATAATGGTCTGATGTACTTATGAAAATAATTATTGAAAGGCATTGTATAGTTACAAATACATATAAATTCCGAATCAACAATTTATTCTTAAGACGCAGACTACTGATGAGAAGAAGACAAAACCAAATGTAGACTATGATAAATTGGCTCAATTTTTAAAAAGAGTTACACCAAGTATAATAGAAGCTTTAGATGAATCATATGGAACTAATGCTTTTGAGGATTATGATTCAAAAACCAATGAGGATACTTTTACAAGCACCCAGCTCCTGCAAAAAATTAATACTACTAATGAAGCTGAGTCTCATGTAATTATAATTCTTATAACATTAAATTAATAGATTGAAATGTGTAATGGACAAATTACAGATTTTAATTGACTTTGGTATAAATTTGTAAACATCTACTATTTAATTATTAATCTTAATATTGTTTAGATGAAAGTAACGGATATGTGTTGGAGCATTGGGGGAGGAATATTGGCTGTCTCTCAAGGTGCTTCTTATCATGAAACATGGTGTGATCATCTCTCTAAAATACAATTGTACAATCAAACAAAAGATGGTATTTTCATGGACAGTCCAAATAAAATATTAGAGACAAATGCATGTGTTACAACATTAGCTTATCATCCAACTGAACCATCTATTTTAGCGGTTGGCCTATTCAATGGTAATCTAAATAATTTTAAAGTTAAATATACACGAGTTTATTAGTTAAAATTTGTACAACTGACTCTCGATTTACACGAAAATCCGTTAAATTCACGAATCACTACCGCGTAAATTGAGAGGCGAGTGTATAATTATCATTTATTCAAGGTGATGTCCTTGTGTGGAACCTGAGGGATGATGTGTCAGTCACATCAATATCAGTTTGTACCCACGGTGATACCGTATCTCAAGTGTATTGGAAAAAAAAATCATTAAATGATGGGTCTTTGCTTGTAAGTTCCAGCAAAGATGGATACATGTTTATTCATAAAATAGTAGCTAACTTTACTATTGCTGACTTATATACAAGGTAATCACTTTATTAAAATAGTTATTAATTATAGAAGAAATATTCTATATTCTTGTCCTTTTCTAGATTGAAAATAGCTAAAGAACATAACCCAATAGAAAATGTAAGACCACGAAGTGCTGGTGGAACCCGCGAACGTGCAGAGGAATGTGGATTATGTATCACTACATTCGATTTCTCATCTTCAGATCCTATATTTTTTATTGCTGGTACTTTATGCGGTGGAATATACAAATGCAGTATACATCGCGTTGCTCCTATTGAAGGTGTGTATGCCAGCTGATATTATTTCACTGGTAAAGTAATGATTCTTTTTTAATTGTAGGAGACGAAACTCTAGTCGACCCTGTGATAGATGAGTATGAGAGGCATAATGGTAGTATAACTTGTATCAAATTCTCTCCTATTCGTAATCTATTCGTTTCATCTGGCACAGATAAGGAAATACGTATATACGATTTTCAAGAGGTAAAATGTTTAGTTGTAAAAATAATACAAATATTTTTCATTCGGTATAGACACAGTGAATTTAAAGAGTGACCATTTCTATTGTACAGCATACATGTCTACGAGCGATTTCCTTCGAAAATACAATTGTGGGATTAACGTGGATGTTGGGAAATTCAGATGTATTGGCAACTTATGGTGCGGGTTCGAATATAAGATTGTACAATGTCACCGATGGTAGACCTGTAACCACTATAAAGTTTGAAGCATCCGACAGAGAAAATACAAGCTGCTTACGCGTGAATTCTAAGAAGTATGTTAATCGATTATGTGTATTTGATGATTTTCACATTTTATTTTTTACATTTTTTCCAGAGACTTGGTGAGCATTGGTGACACTAAAGGGAATGTAGAAATCTGGAAAATTCCACGACAGTTACTTTAACGTGATTTTAATAAACTTTGTAATAGATTTTCTTTATATAACTAGAAAATTATACTGCAAGTATATATATAGTGTTTTTAAAATAAGTGTCACGTAATTTATCAAATATATTGCATTTTGATATAAAAATGTTTATCTTTATTTTTACTTCGACAAATATAATACTTGCTAAAATTAAATCACGATGTTAGTAACGAGTAGTATATCGAATATTCCGTGTCCAAGACTTAAATATCACAATAACTTTGAAGTGAGTGTTCCGTTACGTTTATAGCTGTACACGTCGATCATAAAAACGCGTGCCAAAAGAATGCTCACGAATTTCGAGAACTAACAGAAATATTTGGAGAATCGAAAACTGTCATTTATTAAATTTTTAGTACGGTCTATTGTCAAGACACATGTTAAAAAATTACAATTTTTATATTAACAATAAATGTATAATGATCTAAAAAGCATTGCCTGTTATTAAAAAAATATTTATTATTTCTATTTCATTGATACAAAAATAAATTCATTCATTAAACTTCAATTTCAAGTGCTGATAAACTGATAAATCATTGACTGATCACTACTGTAATAAAATAGGTCGATTTCCTTTGAATAGAATACTGTTTCAGCTGTCGTACTCTTGCTTTTTATTTTCTAGACGTGATGTTTGATCTTCTGATGAATCATAAATCGACGTCACTCTTTACGTGTGTATGCACATCACGATGTATGAAAATTTACACCTGCAAAT